TTCTATTTTGGAACCTCAGAAAATAATCAGTTGCCTTCGTATGTTATGCAGTAGTACAGTTTACCAATTGTGTAGCATTTATTGCTTTTAGTACATTTAGTAGTGTCGTGCTTATTACGATAAAGCAAGGAGCCATTTCCAGCAGACAGCTCAAAAATGAATGTTTACAAAATCCTACAGGGAGACCTGGTTAGTTTTTAGATAAGAGAGGACCAGGACACCCCATATTAGAGAGCCCAGCTTGTGACACTCTTGAAAAATCTCTGAAAAAGACAATGGCAAAACCACTTCCACACTGATGTGTTGACTTCCTGACGGTGCCTGTGAAGCTACGGATATGTGTCGACATTTCATTCATTGCCATACATTCAGAATGGAGAGCGTCGTAGAAGGTGTCAGTGAAAGTCATTTTATCGACAAAGAACAGCTGTGAAAACCTACCAACTAGCACTTCTGTACTGTTGCTAAGAAATGCATATGATCTGTGTACTGAGCTACAATAGTTGCTTCCAGCTTGAGAAAATATTTTACCTGTAAGCTAACATATGTACCTTTGACATTCTCAACATCTTCCCTAAAAACAGTGCTACCTGCTACCACACCAGTCCACTTTCTGCCTATGGAAAAATAGATTGTTACTAGGCTTACTCAACGCATACAGAACCATCTAACACAGGGATCTCCAAACTTGGCAACTTTTAAGACATGTGGACTTCGACTCCCAGAATTCCCCGGCCAGCATGTCCACAAACATGGCTGGCTGGGGAAGCCTGGGACTTGCAGTCCAATCTGAGTTGGTCACCAGGACGTGAGGTTTATTCTTCTAAGCTTTTGGGCTTGTGCTGGAGCCCATCTTCAGGGAACTTCTCTCTCTCTCTCTCTCCAAAAATGTGCACTGGGCTGTTTTATGCATTGTATTTATATGGTTCCTGGTTATGTGTGGCGTTTAGTTGTTAACAAGGGTGTTGATGGCTGCTATTAAGTTATTAGTTGTTGTTTCCTTGTGCTGCCTGCCCTTGACTCCCAAGCACCTGATAAGCTGGTGGTAAATCAGCACTCCTACTGATTGACAAGGGGCCCGTTTCCCAGACTTTAATCACTTCTCTGGCTATTTTTGTCCCTGCTCAGCCAACAATCATAGTAGCTGTGAAATTAAAAGCATGTCTTTGTTCATTGCAATGTGAGGCTACCAGTGAGTTTAGGGGTCCTCGTCTAACTGCTCACTCGTGTTCTCATAATATGGTGGTTAGCTTCTATTTATTTCTCCTATTTGTGGTCAGTTTTGCAGATCGCAGGCCAACACAAATATAAACCCCCATTCATGAAGAAAAGATGGGGTATTATTGACTGCACTTTTCTTGACTAGAGTTGATTGTCCTTAAGGAATAGGAGATTGTGACATTCAGCTGTGGTTGCTATCGTTCCATTGTTTTTTCTAGCCATGGTTCTGCTTTTTGTGGTATGGATGAAACGGAGGGAGAAAGAACGTCACACGAAGCAGCTACTCATTGATCCCGAAGATGATGTCCGGGACAACATTCTTAAATATGATGAAGAAGGTGGTGGAGAAGAAGATCAGGTGAGGATCACTCCATCTTTGTGAGAAATCGGTTACAGTTCAGGTTGGAATCAAAATAATGTGAAAGATCTGAGATTGTATATCTGAACCGCAGTTATGAGACTTGAGCTGGATACAGCACAACTCTAAAATTTCTATTAAACGGTTGAGAAATCGATGGGAATGTTAAGGAGTTGCAGCTCAAATATATCTGAAAAGTGAGTGCTATAAAAACTCAGGTCCATATTCATCTGTCACCAGGAGAAACGCTAATATTAAAGCTCAATATAAATCTAGAAAATTTATATAGCACAAAAAGGTCTCTATTTTGGAAAAGATCTCTGGGCATAATATGGACTTTGGGAAACTATAATGTCATTGACCACAGCTTGGATTCTTTGTTTCCATTGTAATCTACCACTATCTGACATGCCAATCCATAATTCGTTTGAAGTTTGGATTTGCTTTGTTTAAATTGGTCTCTCTCTCTCTCTCTTCCAAATCAATTACAAATCAGATTGTGGAAAGATCACTGAGCAGCAGAGGCCATAAGATGGTCATTGAATAGAGCATCACTAATACTCCAAACCCACATTGAGATGTCTCCAGAATGTGAACCGAATAAGTGATTAGTCAAGAGTGCGTGTTTGCATCTTTCTGCCTTGTAAATCTCTTTGCACCGTCCAGCCAAAGATCAATAGCATATCATATATGTTGAATTAAGTAGCAATATAAATGCCATAGAGTTTAAAAGCTCTGTTTTTGATTTCCCTTAAACTTAAGTCAGTCATGTTATTTAGCCCCCCCAGTGGCACAAAGGTACTGGATAATCTTCAGTGAAAATCTGCTGCAACTTCACTCTTTTCCTTCTGTATTCGTGATAGGATTATGATTTAAGCCAACTTCAGCAGCCAGAGAATATGGATCATGTTTTAAACAAGCCAAATGGAGTCAGGAGAGTGGATGAAAGACCTGTCGGTGCTGAGCCACAATATCCTATACGGCCTGTCATCCCTCACCCTGGAGACATCGGGGACTTTATTAACGAGGTATGTTCCTGCAGATTTCTGTAGACTGCTGCTGTAGGATTAATTGGTCACCAAGAGTTGGTGACAGCAATTAGCATGTACAGAATACAGACAGGGATGGATGGATCGATGGATGGATGGATGGATGGATGGAT